CCTACCTCTGAAAATATAAGTTAGACTATATATTATAGATATGGTCGACCTAGCCATATCAGCCGAAATTGTCGAATGACAAATCCCCAACCTAATTTTTCTAACTCGGCCCCCAGAATCAGTCACTGAACTTATCTTCGAATCCAGCCTCCATAAATCTTTCTTTTAATCTACTACCACCTATGTCTATAAACCCGAGATCTAATGATATACCTGAGAATCAGTAGCAAGAGACTCTCCAAGCTCTATTAGCCTTGGCCACTAGCTTAAACCCCCAATGGTTAAAGTAATCAACCCACCTACATCAGCATCTCTGCTGAGAATGTTCCTTTGTTTGCTATGGGCAAGCGAGACCCTCAATAACCCAGTGGTAACCTCTGCCCTACCAAACAAAGAAAAGAAGAGTTAGAAGAGGCAGAGTTGGAGAAAGACACTTTGAAACAATTAATGGAGAAAGAAGCAAAAGAAGAAGAAAAGATCGATAACCCTCTGAGATGATTGTGAACCTCCTGTTGTCCCTGCTAAGGTTGTCACCGAGAAGCTTAAACATATCATCCATAAGAAAGTTCAAGAAGATAAACTCTCCCAAATTGTGTATTTGGTTTCTCCTTACTCAATCGTCACAGATATCTGGGATAAGCCCACTAATAGTACTTACGGCCAACTCTTTTGTATCACCTCTGCATTACAAGATGAATTGGGTCAAAGCCTGCAGAAAAGAAGGCCCCTACTAAAAGAAAAATAAAAGCAAATATCAGTATTAGCACTGAAAAAAAATCTACTACCCTTTACTGTGATGTTCAGGTTCTAGGTGCAACTATTCCCCTAATCATTGATAGTAGTTCTTCCAGGAGTATCATTTTGTCACATCTCCTCTGGAACCTAGATATCAAGGTCGAACGTCCCTCTACAGTAAATATGATAAATATCTATGATGAAAGTAAAAGAGTTTTAGGAGAGATATCCAACTTCCTCATTAAAGTTGGAGGGATAGAAATCTCTATTAATATCATCATTACGAATGTGGGATCGTATTAAGTTATTGTTGAATATAATTAGCTTTCTAAGGCCCAAGCTAGAATCGATTGGGTAGCTTCAGAAATGACCCTTACATGGAAGGTAAGGAACTTACTCTCCCAAGAAATTCAAAAAGATCACTCATATCCTCTTGGTAATAACTACCCTATTTCAGTTCATGACGTTGACGAAGAAGCTAAAGAAGAAGAAGCCGAAGAAGAGTTGGAGGATAGTAACGAAAAATACGAGGAAGAGGAGTTAGAGGATAGAATCTATCGATATTCTGAAAAAGATGAAATGAAATCTCTAATCACTTACCTTTACCTAGTCCCCCAATACCCTTATTTTAGATTTTCCTACCGACATACATTATTTCCTTCTTAACTCGCCCCTCCTACCTCTAACCTCTAATAATAAAGATACTAATATTTCCCTATTAAACACACCAGCATCTCATACAAGCTGCCCTATTTTCTTCCAAATTAATGTTCAAAACCCTTACCTTCTACTTCTTCAGCCTGCCCTTTGTAAATCCTTGTTCGCCTTCTATCTGAATTGAAAATTGTCAATGTAGAGATATCCTTGTCCTCCTCCTAATCTGGATAATTTACTATCTCTAGTTTACTATAACCCCGATTCAGACAGTTCTAGTGAGGAAGAGTAGTATTCTTACCTAGATTTTAGTCTACCAAAAGTTGAGGCAGATGATTTTGACTCTGACGCAGATGATGATATTGATGAAAATTACCAAAAAGCAAGAATAAAGAAAGAAAAAAATAAATCTGCTAATGTTAAATATTGCTATGATAAAGCAAGAAACACTTACCTCGAGGAAGATAGTGCCAAGTCTGACCCCTGTAGATGTATTATAGATGCTCCTGCCATTGAATCCCTGTTAGTAATCTTTTTGACTATTACTATGAAGACCACCAGGATCTCTACCAGATCAGAAGATTAGAATCTAGACAACACTTCCAGCTTCAGCAATTTCTAGGTAATAATCTGGACCTTTTTATCTGGCAAAAAGAGCTATTAGGTCAGACCAACCTTGTAAAGTATCGTATTGATACTGGTGATGCCCTTCCAATTAAACAATATCCTTATCGACATTCCCTCACTGAAAAAAAAACTATTCAAAATGAAATTAGTTATATGATCTCTGCTAGAATTATTCGACTCTGTTAAAGCTCCTGGACCTCTCTTATTGTACTGGTCCCCAAAGAGGATGGGAGTACTTGGTTCTGCGTCAACTATCGAAAGCTAAACACTATTACTGTAAAAGATAACTATCTCCTTTCTCATATTGATGACCTCCTAAAAGCTCTTTTTAGATCGAGCTAGTATAGCTTCTTAGCCCTTGCTAGTAGATACTAGCAGGTTAAAGTTGATAAATCGAATCGACTCAAGACTGCCTTTACTACCCCTTTGGTACCTTCTAATTTAACATTATACCTTTTGGCTTAGTAAATGCTTCTGCGACATTTCAACACCTAATGGATTATGTATTCCAAGATCTGATTGGTCAAAACATTGTTATCTACTTAGATAACATTAATGTCTATTCTAAAATTTTGAAGAACACCTCACCCACCTGGAAGAGGTTTTCGTTAGTTAAACTCCGCTAGCCTTAAATTAAAACCCACCAAGTGTTACTTTGCTAAGGGGAATTAAAATTTTTAGGTCATATAGTCAGTAGCAGGGATCGCTACTGATTCTAAAAAAATTGAAGCCATTCAGAATTTTTCTGTCCCCATAATATCAGGCAACTTAGAGGCTTTTTGGGATTAGCTTTCTACTATTAAAAATTTGTTATGGGTTTTACCAATCTTGCGGTACTGTTAAATCAGCTCCTAAAAAAGGATGTTAACTATAGGTAAACTACTGACTAGCAGCAGGCTTTTGAAGGCTTGAAAGAAAAATTGACAACCACCCCATACCTGCTTACCCGACTTTTCCCAGACCTTCATCCTCTTCACTGATGGTTTTGACCAAGCCCTTGGTGCTATACTAGCCCAACATGATAATGATTATCAGAAACGAGTAATTTTCTATGCAAGCCGAAGCTTCACCTAGCTGAGAAAAATTACTCTGTGACTGAAAAGAATGTTTAGCTGTTTTTTAGGCTGTTGGATATTTCCAGCCTTATCTTCACAGGAGCCGTTTTATTCTATATACCAATCATTCCGCTCTTTGATTCTTATTTGCAATCAAACTCCCACAGAATCATCTTAATAGAGGGTTATGACCCTGATGGAATACTCCTTTACAACTATTCATAAGCCGAGAAGGCACCATACTAACGTCGACAGTTTATCCCGTATCTAAATAGACATTTCAATTTAATTAATCTAGAGTCATAAAGAAAAAGAAAAAGAAAAGAAAAAAAAAAAAATATATATATATATATAGATATTTTTTTTTAAAGATATATTTATCCTTTTAAATTTGATAATCTAGTTCAAGTAAGGGCCGATCACATAACTCTTCCCAACGATCACTTGTACCAAATTTTCTCTACAAACAATCTGCATTTTTGCAATATTTTACTAAGTAAATTATAGTTGGCTGCCTAAGTAAACTTGTTCTTTACAA